TGATAAATCTGAACATTTGTGTAAAATAATGGAGCATTAGGTCATGAATATTGCCTTAAAAGTCATTGGAATTTATTGGTTGAACGAACCCTGCATTTAATGAGTGAATGCCTACGATATAGGAGTTAGCCTATCACACAAACTAGAGTCCTGTTTTTCCGAATATCTGCATAATGGCAAATGTACAATAAACATAGACACAAAATTCTGTTTTGCCCCATCAATGCGTCTCCGAGCAACACAGTGTTTTGTTTCACAGCATTACACGGACCAGTAAATGGTTCAAACAGGCTATAAGTACAGTAGTTTGCTAAGTTAAATAAATTAGCATTTTAAACAAATCGGTTGATTTATGGATTCAACTCACTCATTAAGACAGTCACTTGCTGCCACCTACTGGCGGTTGTAGTTTCATATTTTAAAAAGTATCTCATTATTTCATTTTTGCAATCATTTAATATTTCTACATTAAAATGCTGTATTTAAACTTAACATAACTTGTGCAAAATCCATCTATGGATTTTGTTTATAGTGATTTCCTTTTATTGTTAATAGCCAACATGGTTTTTTTATTCAGATTGAATTTATTAAATTTAAGAATCTGACATAAAAAAACACAGATAAACAGACAATAGATTTTCATAATAATACATCTCTTTGTTTTTTTCTGCTCAGTGTTATTTCAGGGTTTTGATCTCTCAACTGAGTGATCACATCCTGTTTATTCTATTATAGTGACTATTTAATATTACATCTAAACTTTGACTAGGCTAGACATGTTGCCTATTAATTGTATACAGTATATGAACCTGAAAGCATATTTTAATTTTTGTGTTACTCCATAATAATATTCTAGTTGAGGGCATTTGTAGTATAGGTATGGGGCCCAAACATAACCTCAAGCCCAGGGGCCCCCGGCCCCGTAAGTCCTGCCCTGCACACAGCTCATATATTTTTCCGCCACAGGGTGAGAACTTAACGATTACGAAAACAATTATTTATTTTTGATAATCATTATTTTATTTCAGTTCGTTTTGCAATAACTGTTGTTAGTTTCGTTTCGTTTTGTTTTTCATTTATTTTTATTTTTTTACATTTTATTTCAGTTTACGAAAATGTTTTTTGATCAATCGTTTTCGTCTTAGTTTTAGTTTTCGCTTACGAAAATAACCGTGCTCTGGACTGTACTGTATATTCCATTTTCTTTGCGCAGTATCCAGCCATCTCTTACTGCACCATTTTTGCTTCAATCCTACAACACAGAAATACAAATAAGTACACTGCCATTGTGCTTAATTGATGGCTGCTGTGAGACATACTGCATATTCAGGGTTCACCTTATACTTAGCCAGTGGCATGAGCAAAATGTACTGATTAATCACTTTGTGCTCTATCACAGGGATGCTTCACTCCTCAGGTTTTGATTGGATATGGTCCCATGACTAAATTGGGTTTTGAAACCAGGACAGGAGTTCTCAGGAGCATGCTCAGAAGACATAATGCACAAATCACCATATCTGCCATATGTAATGAGCTGTCATTCCTCGGTTGAGAATTCAAAATAAATGTACCATATCTTGCAAATGATGAAACGTTTGCATAGGACATTATTGTGAACATGCAATACAAGTATATACTTGATTAATGCTGTTTAAACATTTGACCATAGTAAAGTGCTTGATCTATGCCCTTTGCATCAGGCAGTGGGCATAAAAACATTAGCAATAACATGATTTGATAGTGTAAACCCCTAGAGCTGGTTCAGCTGATGGAGGTGCATAATGCAACACACTTTCATCACAAAAAAAAAGAGCTGATAGGTTGATGAGAGAGGCCTTTGTGCATTCCCATACCGTGAACACTAGAGGCAATATTTCTTTGAAAGATGTCTTAATACCTTCTTGGATTTGATGCTCCTGATGCTTTTTCTCTCTTGGTTTGAATGTGGAATAGTTTTGGTGATGCACGGCTTTCGATACCTGTATTGGACTTTATTCAATGTTGTGGTCAGTTATATCTCAGGTTCAGTCTCTGTAGTTGGTGTGCTTCAATTCTATTTTAAATTCAGACTTTGTATATATATTTATTATATATATATTTTTCACATGGTGAATTCATATCTCAAGTTTACTACATTTCTTGAAATGTCATTCACTATGTTTAGCTGGAAGAAATTTTAAACATTTTTATAATACTAGTATCCTCTGGATCTTGGTTTTGGCCTGAGCTTTGTGCTAATGTAACATTACTGCATTTGTCATGAAACAGAAATACTGCCAACTAGAAATTAAATGTTTGTTGCAAAGGCACTTGCTATCGGGGACGTGCACATTTATTTTGAGGGGCAGTGGCCAAAATCACCGGGGGTGGGGCAGTTATTGCTTGGCAAATGACGTGCTGTGATTGTCACTGTGGACAGATTCGCAGATCATTAATGAATTTAGGTGCATTGGTGCATTGTCATGGTCTGTTGAGTAAACCTGCCCTTGCTGACAATCAATAATAGTCGAGTTTTTAGGCAAAATTGTTATAGTTCTAGAATTGCACAAGAATTCCTCTCTCAAAACTGAGGTAATACAAAACAGGATGTATTGTGACAACTACCATGTACCATTCTGTCTCAGGAGCTGCTTTTGTGTCAGAGATTAATGAAAACAAAATGATTTGTGTCATTCGTTCAGACCTCTGAAATAGAGGTACTTGTATCTAATATATATGATAAAACCATTGTAAATATTCTCATCCTTGCCTTACTTCCATAACATTTAACAGTTTCAATAATTTATGATAATTTATATTAAGTCTTAGCTATCCCATCTCCTAAGTTTGTTACCAGATTCTCCATAGAATTTGGAAGATTGTTAATTCAGACCAAGTACCTTTAACAAGAAGAGCATCAAAGAACTGCTATTCTTAAAAGCCACTGTACTAAGTCCATGTTGATGCAAGGAGATAGCTGGAAGTGAAATCCTAGCCCCACATAAAATTTGGAAAAGGATGAAAGAGCGCAGACTGAATATTTAATGCTGCTATTTTGCACGAGGCAAGAGTCTTTTTGTGTCAGAGCCACGTGATCCACCCACTGCAGTGTCAGAAACCATTGTGTACCCCCACATAAGTACACCCCAACCCTTCTTTCTCTGCTTGCCCCACCATGATTACCCTCTGAAAACCAGTGCCGAAGAGCTTAGCACTTTAGTAAGGCACAGTGCATGACATAAATGCAGCATTGTGGTGTTCTGTGATAGTTAGATTTGTATCTCTAATCGGGAGGTGTTGTGTTAATGCATTAATTACTAAAGTAGAACAATACATCTCTGTAGCAGTGTAGACCTGTTATTAGAATTCTGCGGCTCTATAACCTAAACACATTTCTATATCATTATTATCTTGTTAAAATATCAGTGATATTTAAAAGGGTTATCTCAGTTCTGATGCAAAAGCAGCATTCTACATATATATATATATATATATATATATATATATACATATATATATATATATTTGAAATTCAGTTTTCTGCAACAGTTAATCGGTAAAAATGACATAAAAAAGTAACTGCAGAGTGGGCGGTTAATGGATTGTGTAAGACAGACCTTAATATTATGGGCTGCCACATTTGCACTAAATACATTGAACAATACAGTGACAAACAGAAGGCGATCTGTATCATTAGGGTGTATTTTAATCCGAGTAGTAAACACATGGGCAGACAATTAATAAATTAACCCTATAGATGACGATGAGACGCAATAACAAGCATAATTTGAACTGAGATCATTCTCTGTTACCTCCTCTCTCTCCCCATTAATATATATATATTTATTTATTTATTTATTTTTTCTAACTCCTTCACTTGCTCGCCCCGGTTTACCCCTGCGAGTTCCTCATCCAAACCTCAATCACGTATGATTGCGTAGAGAGAGAGAGAGAGAGAGAGAGAGAGAGAGAGAGAGTATCACACCCCATTCACTGGCTCAGTGTCAGTGTGAAAGAGGCCGCACTAGTCTCGATTTTACAACATTCCCTTAAACGGCTTCGCCAGGATTCTTAGTGTTCTCGCTGTGCTAGACACCTGACATTTAAATTGCAACTCGTTTCGGACAAAATAAGAAATTTCGACGTGAAGGGCGATGCAATGAACTCTACCAGAAGAACTATGACGAGCTGTGAAATAATTTGGAGAGCCCAGATGTTGCGTGAAGTTGTGTGCGCGCCACTCATATACGCCTATAGAGCCTGAGAACGCGCATTCTTATGTCATGGGCTCCATTTATTATGTGGATGCATGCAAAGTTATCTGGAATGAACTAGACATATGGATCATGTAGCAGTCGCTTGAAAGAGGAATTACGCGTCTGTTGTCTTCGGCACCTGGAATACCTGCGTGAGGTTACCCATGTTCACATAGGACGTTTTTTAATTGTTGTTTTTAAATTTAATTGTTATTATTATAGCTTTTTTGCTTCTAAGATGGAGAAAGGAAAATATGCTTTATGTAATCGTGTGTGAAACTCACAGCCGTCTGGGTAGATCGTCTGAGAAGGGGATGAGATTTCAGTCCTAATTCACAGGATCCTCTGGATTTTTCGCAAAGAATTGGAATGATATCTGGCTAATTTTTAGCAGACAATCCAGTCTTGTTTATTTATTATTCCCAGTAATTGCGTTACCGTCGAACAGCTCGTTTAACTGAATACTCGAGATGGCTGCGATCGCCAGTTCTCTGATCCGACAAAAACGGCAGGCGCGGGAATCCAACAGCGATCGGGTATCTGCCTCCAAACGCCGCCCCAGTCCCAGCAAAGACCCCCGCTCTCTCTGCGAGCGACATTTCCTGGGGGTCTTCAGTAAAGTCCGCTTCTGCAGCGGCAAGAAAAGACCTGTTCGCCGGCGACCAGGTCAGTGCTGGATGCTTTTTAAGACATCAGCCCCCACCCGAAGCCTCTGCTGCAGTCTACAGCTCCGCTGGAGGAACATATATCCTCCACTGTATTTTATTTATTTATCCCTCCCCCCAAAGATCCCACCTGTTTCATAGCTCACGTGCTGTCTATTGCTATTCACCAACCAATTTGCCATCCTAACAATCTGACTGCATAGTCGTTTTATGTTGATATATCTGATATGTTTTATTAATGTTATTATTACTGTTATCAATGAATTCAGTGGCTGGAATTCTGACATTTTGATCAGAGGCTGTGTGATTGTTAAAAGAAGAAGAAGAAGAAAATACCTTATGTTTATAGTGCAACAATGCAATTTAATAATAGCCAGATTCCAGTGGCACTGCAGTGCACCAGGGCATTCTTAGATGAAATGGTTAATGGTAAATGTTTGCCTGATGGAAGATCCAGTTTGAACTGCCCAATGAACCACGCTATTGTTCTTTTTCGGCTCACATAAAATGGCACGAACATGTGAAACGTAAAAAAAATATATATATATATACAAAGCTGTCCTCTCTTCCTCCTTCAAAACACCTTCTCATGATGTAGAACAAACACATCCCCTCTTCCCAACATATGATCAGTTATTTGACGGCTGTTGCTGTAGGATTTGTCTGTAAAAATGTTGTTTTTCCTTCTCCCCCGTAAGATGCACCCTCGAAACCTCCACAGGTGTCCCGTAAGGGCGTCAGGCTAGGTCAGTAGCTCAGCCTCCATCCTTGTGCTGTCTTCCAGTTACCCACCCCATTCGTGTTCATGGGGGACTAGCTCCTGTCTAACGGCAGTCGCCAATGTCTGCCTTGTCTTTGTAGTATGCTTCTGACTATTGTTCTATCTCTCTGTCTTTGTGTTATTTTTATGTACAGTATGTCTTCTCTCTGTCTCTTCCACCTTTTTTCTTTTGTACCTTCTTTACTCCCCTCTGATCCCCTTTTTTGGTCTCTACTTATTATGTTTCTGTCCCCATTGTTGTGCGTGATCTGTCCTCTCTGTCTGTTTCCGTGCAGTGAGCCTCGTGTATGCTCTGTGCTGCTGATGTGTCATGTTTCTTCTGTCAGTTGTGGTGACTTAATTAGTCGAGGATATCATTCACCATTTCATGATCATGAGGTCATTTATCAGCACATCTGATTGCAACTGTTTTTGTTCATGAAATGGGGCAATATGGAACATGTATGGTTCAACTGAATTATATTTGCAAGGGGAAAGTATGCAAAGTGTTGGTGCAAATATGACATGCATTATCTCATGCATACATCCAGGTGAACACATGCTCAAATCCACATGTGAGTGCATACGAGTGCTATATGAGTAGAGACATGCATGTAAACAAACATGTGAGGAACATGTCTGAGTCATATTTCACCCCACAAATCCAGTGAAAGCAGAAATATTATTTTACACAAAGACATTTAATCCCATTTTAGTGTTTTTTTTTACATTGTGACATTATTTTCATAATAACTGTGTACTTTTCTTTTAAATTCTTATTTTGTAATGTAAAAAGCATCCTCATTACTGCAATCTACTATATCATACTATATAATCTACTATAATCAATTATTATATTATAATGATGTATATCATTAATATTTGTTGTACTTACATATTTTTTGGGAAAAATTACTTTATTACAGATCTAATATTTGGATTTACATTAAAAAAGGCTCGAGATGCATTAGGGATAAGAATTTGTATTGACAATATTGTTTGTTTGTATTTGTTTTTGCTTCAGGGGAAGTATGACCTGGACATGTTTTCAAGAGATTCAGCACACACTGACCCACATACATGTATTAAACCCAAACCTTTCTCCCCAGGTTATAGTCATTTCCTATGGGGTCCCCTACATCAGTTTTTATTTATAGAGGTGTGAATTCTGTATGTGATTTAGTAATGTTCTTCCTAATGGATGTAGATAGGCTCGTTCATGTGATTGATGGCCCTTCCAGCCTGTCAAAGATATTGGGTCTGCAATGGATAGATGGGGTCCTAGATGAATAGCTGATCATGACCATCATGGACATTCACAACTCTTCTGAGCTCTAATATTGAAAGCTGTGAAACTTTGCTGCATGCCAGGTCATCCATGTGGCCTCTTCACTCCTCACCTCTCAGGCCTGCCTTTAAACATTTATTGTACCTGCTTGTACAGGTCACCGCTCCACCACTATAAACTCCAGGTGTCCATAGTGAAACTGATTAATGAGGTTGCAGAGAGCAAATATGCAGAGCTTTATCAACACAGCCATTCACGAGTACATTCACTGCCATCACAGGATAAGAAGTCAATAACTTATTTAGAATAATTTATTTCTTCTTAACAACCTTTTGTTCACATGCTGAAAAAATTTGTTGGGGTAAATTCTGATAAAAATGTGGGTTGGGGCGGGGCTGTGTGTTTATTTTCCAGACCCGCAGCTGAAAGGCATTGTGACACGACTGTTCAGCCAGCAGGGTTTTTACCTGCAGATGCAGCCAGATGGAACCATCGATGGCATCAAGGATGAGAACAGCGACTACAGTGAGTGATTGGAACTGCAAATGTGCATGCAAAGCAGAGTTAATTGTACCAACACTAATTGTGTATAGGGGAGAACGGGGCTTGGTGTCACACTTTTTTATCTCAGCGAACAATCTTCAGGGTTGGTTTATTTATGAAAGTCTGTTTATGTACAATCCTTCAGCACAATCCTTTAAAGGATAGTTCACCCAAAAATTCTGTTATTAATTACTCACCCTCATGTCAGTCCAAACCCGTAAGACCTTTGTTCATCTTCGGAACACAAATGAAGATATTTTTTATGAAATCCAAGAGCTCTCTGAACCTCCATAAACAGCAACACAACTGAAATGCTCCCAGGTCCAGAAACAAGGACAATGGTAAAATAGTCCTTGTGACATCAGGGGTTCAACCGTAATTTTAAGAAAACAAAAATAATAACTTTATTTAACAATTCTTCTCCTCCCTATCCCGTCTGCTACGGTGCACCGCCATTGTGGAGAAAGTGATGCACGACTCATGTGCATGCTTCCTCTTCATGTAAACGCATGCTGACACATGTGCGTGCTCAACGTAAGCAGCAGCCAGTTGTTTACATGAAGAGAAGCATGTGCATGCTATGTTTCTGGACCTGAGAACATTTCAGTTGTGTTGCTGTCTATGGAGGGTCAGAGAGCTCTCGGATTTCATTAAAATATCTTCATTTGTGTTCCGAAGATGAGCGAAGGTCATATGGCTTTGGAACGACATGAGTGTGAGTAATTAATGATAGAATTTTCATTTTTGGGTGAACTAACTCTTTCAAGTATTGAACATTTCTTCCAAGTAAAAGTGGAAATTTTTTCCTTATTGTTGGGCATTATTGTACACAGCGTGAGTATAAGTAGGCAGCCGGTGCAGCGCATATTCAGGTTTTCGCTGAGGAGCCGAGCCGGTGACCCGGCCGCTCAGCAGTGGTACAGAAGCTGTGGCGACGGGACATGACGTCTCCGTTCCCTCCTTCAGGGAACAAGGGTTACAATACGTAACCGAGATGTTCCTTTTCAGTCGATTTGGGATCCCCACCAAAGGGCCACAGGTACTGCCCCTTCCAGTGTCCTGTGGAAGCCTCCTGCGCCCCTTCTTTTTGGCACAGGTCGGGGCTTACCACAAGAAGAGCAGCAGATAACACTGCGAAAACGTACCTGTACCACTTGGGACAGGAACGTTGCGGAAGCCCCATCCTTCCCGGAGGAGGTTTCGGAAGCACTTACCCACATGGACAACCGCTTAGGTGCATATGGAAGATTAGAGGTGATTGTAACCCTCTTGGAAATGGCAGAAGTCTGCCGGGGAAACACGGGCTCTGAGGCTATACCGTGGACTTTACACATATGGGATCCACTTAGGTCTCTACATATGGAACCCAGCCCTCTATCGGTTCTCACAGATTCATCGAGTGAGGGGCTGGCGCCGGACGCTCCACCACGTCTGGCTGCCGAGGGGACGGAGAAGCTCGACAGGGTCTACGATATGGACCTCTATCTGTTCTCACAGATTCATCGAGTGAGGTCCCGGCGCCGGACGCTCCACCACGTCTGGCTGCCGAGGGGACGGAGAAGCTCGACAGGGTCTACGATATGGACTCTCTGGAGCGATTTTAGCAAGCCGACCCGAAGTTGGAGCCTCTCAGTGCTTCAACCCGTTTGAGGTGAGAACACAGAAGGATACCGGCTCCACACGAAGGCTATAGAATCTAGCGAACGTGTTGGGGGTTGCCCAGCCCGCAGCTCTACAAATATCTGTCAATGAGGCACCACAATGATTTTTAAAGTCTAATAAATGTTAAAATTGATAACTCTCAATTATACTGGAATGTTGAATGGCTATAGTTAATGGTTAAATATGGGGGGGGGGGCAATTTTATAGACAAATCAGTATTGGTATCATTGATACTGGCCTTCAGTCATAAAAAAAGATGCCATTAAACAAATATTAAAAAATATTTCTTTATGTTGTTTGTACATTAATTTAAAGATCGAATGTGAAATTATTGCAATATAAAAGTATATTTAAAAGCTTTAATGTTAGGTGGGATTAATTTCAGAAAAATTTGATTAATTAGTAAATTTTTTTAATCGACTGACAGCACTAGTTTTTTTTTTTTTTAAACGAAGCATTAACACATGTTAGACTGCACCCCATAAACACAATTAATCATAGAAAAAAAAGCAGTCAACGACCCCTTTAAGCCAAGATATTGATAGTTCATTATTCTTTGACATATTATGATGTTTGAAAGTAAAGTGCAAAAAGTTCCACATATGTTTAATATAATTTTATTTCAAGTAAGTAGCTCTCTAGACTATTTTATCTATAAAGTGAGCACACGCTTTCGAAGTGCAGTTTTGAGAACACTAAGGAAAGAGCACGTTCTTTTCGCCTGTTTGGACACTTCAAACAGACGTTTGCACTGCCTGTTTGGTTTACTTGTTAACACGTTTATAATGTGCGTTTTGTCCGACTCAAAACACATGTATTCAACACCCATTTCTGTTATGATAAACGCACATCAAAAACACGCGTTTTTTGTTGACTCCAACATTTTTACAGCAAATCACACGTCCAGGGCGCGTGTTTTCATCATAGACTGTAAAAAAACATGGACGTAGTATCCGTGACGTCACTCGTAGGGTTCAGAAGAGCATTTTTTAAGCCTAAAGTGGGCGGAGCCGACCGCCGCCATCTTGACAGCGCGTCACCGCGCGTCACTCTCGGATAGTCAAGTCACCTTTATTTATATAGCGCTTTCAACAATACAGATTGTGTCAAAGCAACTGTACAGCATTAATTAGGAAAATAGTGTGTCAATAATGCAAAGTGACAATAGTAAACACTCATTTTTCACTTAAAGGCAGTTCATAATTGAATTCAGTGATGTCATCATCCAGCTCAGTTCAGTTTAAATAGTATCTGTGCAATCAAGTCAACGATATCGCTGGAAATGAAGTGTCCCCAACTAAGCAATCCAGAGGTGACAGTGGCAAGGAACCAAAACTCCATCGGTGACAGAATGGAGAAAAAACCTTGGGAGAAACCAGGCTCAGTCGGGGGGCCAGTTCTCCTCTGGCCAGACGAAACCAGCAGTTCAATTCCAGGCTGCAGCAAAGTCACATTGTGCAGAGTACTCAACTAGCTCCTGTGGTCTTGTCCCGGTGTCCGTCTGAGACAAGCGGTGCTGATCCACCATCTGGTCTGGATACGTACTGGATCCGGGTGACTGCAGTGACCATCTGATCTGGATACAGACTGGATCTGGTGGCTACGGTGACCTCGGAATAAGAGAGAGACAGACTAATATTAGCATAGTTGCCATTCTTCTAGCGATGTAGTAAGTACATCAGGTGTTATGAAAAGTGTTCCCGGTTCCGATTGACCTAATTAATGCAGCCTAAAAATCCTTTAACGGATTTGAATATTAGAAATGTGTTAGTGTGTTATGTGTAAGCCAGGTTAAAGAGATGGGTCTTTAATCTAGATTTAAACTGACTGAGTGTGTCTGCCTCCCGAACAATGTTAGATAGGTTATTCAGGTTTGGGCACTAAATAGGAAAAGGATCTTCTGCCCGCAGTTGACTTTGATATTCTAGGTATTATCAAATTGCTAGAGTTTTGAGAACGCAGCGGACGTGGAGGACTATAATGTAACAAGAGCTTGTTCAAATACTGAGGTGCTAAACCATTCAGGGCTTTATAAGTAATAAGCAAGATTTTAAAATCTATACGATGTTAAATAGGAAGCCAGTGCAGTGTTGACAGAACCGGGCTAATATGGTCATACTTCCTGGTTCTAGTAAGAACTCTAGCTGCTGCATTTTGGAGCAGCTGGAGTTTGTTTATTAAGCGTGCAGAACAACCACCCAATAAAGCATTACAGTAATCTAACTTTGAGGTCATAAACGCATGGATTAACATTTCTGCATTTGACATTGAGAGCATAGGTCGTAATTTAGATATATTTTTGAGATGGAAAAATGCAGTTTTACAAATGGGAGAAAGGGACTTTTACAGAAAAGGGAGATTCGAGATCGGTCTGTAATTAACTAGTCCTTTGGGGTCAAGTTGTGTTTTTTTTATGAGAGCCTTAATAACAGCCAGTTTGAAGGTTTTTGAGACATATCCTAATGACAATGATGAATTAATAATAGCCAGAAGAGGATCTATGACTTCTGGAAGCACTTCTTTTAGGAGCTTAGATGGAATAGGGTCTAACATACATGTTATTGGTTTAGATGATTTAACAAATTTATACAAATCTTCCTTTCCTATAGTAGAGAATGTGTGGAATTGTTCCTCAGGCGATCTATAGCACACTATCTGATGCGATACTGTAGCTAACGGCTGCATGGTTACAATTTTATCACTAATAGTATCGATCTTGGAAGTAAAGTAGTTCATAAAGTCATTACTGCTGTGCTGTTGGGAAATGTCAACACCTGTTGATGCTTTATTTTTCGTTAGTTTAGCCACTGTATTGAATAAATACTTGGGGTTTGTTTTCTTCTAAAAGAGACGAAAAGTAATCAGATCTAGCAGTTTTTAATGCTTTTCTGTAGGATAGGTTACTTTCCCGCCAAGCAATATGAAATACCTCTAGTTTTGTTTTCTTCCAGCTGCGCTCCACTTTCCGGGCTGCTCTCTTTAGGGTGCGAGTGTGCTCATTATACCACGGTGTCAGACTGTTTTCCTTCATCTTCCTTAAGCGTAAAGGATCAACTGTATCTAAAATGCTAGAAAAGAGAGTCCTTTCTGTTACATCATCAAGTTGTTCTGAGGTTTTGGATATGCTAAGGAATTGGGATAAATCAGGAATATTACTTACAAAGCAGTCTTTTGTGGTAGAAGTGATGGTTCTACCATACCTGTAACAAGGAGTAGAATGTACAGTTTTAGCTATATGAAGTTTGCACAAGACTAAATAATGATCTGAGATATCATCACTTGGCTGCATAATTTCAACACATCAACATCAATCGAAATAA